CAAAACTCCAGAATAATTAAAGAAAATAGATATAACGGATGAGGCCAGAGGCCCAAATGAAAATGCCAACTTACCAGCATATTTTGTGGTGTTCGATTCATCCATGGACCAAAAGCAATAATCAAAGGCAAATACCTGAATGAAAGAACAGAATATTAAACTGAAGAATTAACTCCTGGTGGGCAAATCGGGTGGGAAATGGTCACTGAAGGTGAGAAGAGGCTCTCTACCATTTCTTTCTGATGAAGAAAACTGCCATGGGGTTAATGCAACCTTTCCTGCGTTGGAGTCAATTTATATGAAAACTATTATTTATCCAGAGTTCAAACAGGCAGACATAGCAACCACGCACGTTAAAAAAATACATTTAATAAGAAACACACACACACACACACACACACACACACACACACTGGCAAGTCCCCTAGTGTCCCCTGAAACCTTCTGGTTGGTTCTCCCATACCGTCTCAAGTCACGTTAAATTGATAATTTTTCCTTCTCCCAGCTATGCACAGTATTTCTAGCACAGTGAAGCTCACACCCCCAGACATGCTCCCCCCACCACTGCAATTCACAATCTTGAACCATTTTCCCTGTCTCAAACATGCAGACTCTGTCCGAGTGCTGCCAATGAGTCAACCATCTGCTCCTGCAGGCACTAACTCTGGAATGGCCACAGAATGCTGACCATAGAAGAACTCACATCTAACCACTATTTCCCCACACCACCAACTGTGCTCCAGTCATTATCATCAAACGCATAGAAAAGTGTTGCCAAAGTGCGTTCCGAGGGACAGTAGTTTCATGAGACAGTCCATGAAGAAAGATCAAATCCCGTTGGAAACAGTACACACACTAACAACCCTTTTCAGATTCTCAACGCACTGCTCAATATTAAAGCTCTGAAAAGTTCTCCAACATGGCTTGGCGGTTAAGAGACTTGGCTGCTCTTGCAGAGGACCCTAGTTTAGTTCCCAGCACCCACACGACAGCTTACAACCAACTAGCTGTAGTTCCAAGAGATCTGATGCTCTCCTCTGACTTCTGCAGGCACCAGACATAAATGTGGTACACATACATATATGCAGGCAAACACTCATACACATAAAATAAAAATAAATACGCTTTTTAAAAGTCCTCCAGTGAAGAAACTCACTCAGTTATTTGACTTATTTCTTCCAACTCATTTAGGGAGGGGGAAACATTTATTAACACACTTTCAAATTAGTGTTTCTGGGTATAGCCTAGCAAACCCTGGCCCCTTTGACCTTGCAGCCTGTCTGGGCTCCTTGCTGGGGCTTTTACTTTCCTGCAGTCCATTGCACTGGGATCATTTGAAGGAATGATCTCTGGGCCAAGTCCACCAATGCTCAGCCAGGCATTGAGACTTCCCAGCTCCTCCCCAGCTGGTTCCCCAGGCCTCTCTTGTCCCAGCGGAACTTGCTCTTTCCCGGGATGACTAGGCACAGCTCCTTCCACCCTGTTCTTGCCCCTTTCTTCACTCCCACCCTTCAAACTGCTTCATATTTTGAAGCCCAGGTCAATGCATTCTTCTTCTAAGAAGCATTCCTTAGAAAAAAAACCAAAGGAATTCCCTTTCCCCTCTCTGAAATCTCACAACACTGTTTAATCCTTCCACGGCTCCTATCCCAAGTATTTTATTTTCCACCAATCGTGACATAATCAAGGGTGTCCATCCTTTTGACATTGTGACATGATACTGTTATCAACAGATGTGTTGGGTCACATACATAGCTATTCTGGGATGCAGGTTGGACACACCTGGATGATCTATGCTTTAAAAAAAGACTCCACTTGTACTCTAAGTTCCTTGAAGGAAGACACCAAATCTAATTAGACTTTGAAGCCTGCAATGTTTGTTGTTTGGAATGATTTAGAATGACTAATGGAACTTAAATCTGGCAGGGAAGCAGTTACTTTTTACATAATAAAAGACTAACTTAGGCTAGGGTAAGAGTGCGCTTAGGCTGTGCAAGCATGAAGGGTCTAAGTTCAAATCCCCATAATCCATACAAAAAGCTGGGTGTGGCCATATGCACCTGTAACTCCAGCATGGGAGGAGGGGCAGAGTCAGAAGGATTGCTGGAGTTTGCTTGTCACCAGCCTAGCTTCAAGTTCAGTGAGATCTAGTCTCAAAGGGATAAGGTGGGGTGATAGGGGATGCTCGGGCCTCTGGTACATAATCATGCACACACACATGCACATACACTACACTCACACATATACCTTCTCTCTCTCTCTCTCTCTCTCTCTCTCTCTCTCTCTCACACACACACACACACACACACACACACACACCAAAAGACTAACTTTAGTCACAATAGTCTTATCACTACATATTGATTTATCCATATGCAAGATACATAACTTATACCATCAACACCAGATTCAAATTCAGTTTTGATACACAATCACACTAGGCTTATAATAACCAAGTTTCAAATAAACAGCTATGAAGCAATAGTTCCAGCCAACAAAGTAAGGAATATTTACAGCCTGCGAGGGTTCCTCCAATGACTCAAAAGACCACACAGGCATAATCCAGTTAATCTTCCTGCCTCTGGGCGGGACTAAGCTTCAGCACTTCTCCCAAGAGATGCAGATATGCCTTGTTTTTAAACATTTCCAGAAAAGGAGATACCATAATCCCCCTTCCATGGCATCTGATCACTTCACTTTCGCTCCTAGGGCCTCTGCCTTTCTGGTCCACCTCAGCCAGCTCTCCTCTTGGCTGTAAATGGACAGTAGAGGCTGTTTTCTGATTCTGAAGAGCCCTCACTGCATTGTCATGAGTATTTTTAGCAGCTCTTATACAGCGACACAATCATTCATTTCTGTAAGTTAAGCTTTCACACCTACCACAAACTGTAACAGCTTGGTATTCTACACACTGAGGTTCAAGATCCACTGATTTACATGTGCAGGAATGCTACCTAAAATGAGACCCACCCCAAATCGGAGGGTTGACCTGTGAGGAAGAACGGTAGCAAATTCTGCAGCACTTTCCATTTTGAACAGTTAACTCTTTGAAGTGATTTCTAATAAAAGGCATAAAAAATTCATCTGCATTTCCTTCGTGAAATTTGTTTTTAAAAAATATTTTATTATTTTAAAAAAATTATTTTTATTTTATATGTATAAGTGTATTGCCTGCATGTTATGTGAGTGCACTCGTGTTGTGCAATGCCACAGCGGAGGTCAGAAGAGGGCTTCGCATTCCCCTGGAACTGGAGTTAAGGACAGTTTTTAGCCGCCAAGTGGGTGCTGGGAATCAAACCTGGGTCCT